AAATATGGAGAACAAACAGAGGGTTACTGGAGGGGTTGTGGGAGGGGGGATGGGCTAAATGGGAAAGGGGCATTAAGGAATCTACTCTTGAAATCATTGTTGCACTATATGCTAATTTGGATGTAAATTTAAAAAATAAATTAAATTTAAAAAAGGAATTGTGTATATAGCATTGGTGAAAGAAAATGTAAACAAACAAAAAAACAACTATGGCTTCTTATTTACTCATAAAATTGAGAACACCAACGAAATTGACAACATGGAAGAAAATACATTCAGAAAGAAGCAACGTTAAAACAAAAAATAAATAAAATGGAACAAAGAATAATACCCCAGAGGCTTTGAATCTAGATGGTTTTACATTTTAGAGATGATTTCCATTGCATACAGAATTTTTTTTTAGAAAAAAAACACAAAAGATGTATATCGATCTAGCTCATTATGCAAAGGAATCTATACCTGAACCTGATAAAGAGGAGGAAAAATATCCCAATAAATAAAATCAGATAACCAAATAGAATCTAAGGTATATTAAATAATGACTAATACATCACGTTGGATTTATCCCAGGGATTCACAGTGGGTCCACTGTGAAGGATTCTATATTACGTATGATGTTAAATGGCAAAACAGGAAAAAGATCCATTTAAATTTAAGTCCTTGGTTGAAACCTCATATATTTTCCTACTTTATGTATAAATGAGCACGTATATATACAAATATCACTAACATGACTAGGATGACGTTTCCCTTCACGTCAAACAGTATCTAAATTAAAGCAAACCCTTGGTGTTCAAACACTATTGGTATCTCCACACCACCTGTGCAAAATCAGGTTGCTTTATTAACAACTTTACGCCACCTGGTTCGAGAAGTGTTTGCCAATGCAGTTAAATTTGAAACCCCAAAAGAGAGGTAAATGTCTTGAACTTTTCCAACACTACTGGAACAAGGAACACATACACAAATATGGTTAAGAATTCAGAAGACGGTTCAGCAAGGTGACTGATACATGAATAAGCAGAACCTTTCCTATTTGTGACTAATAAAACAATCAAGACAATGTGGTGGAGGGAGGGAGAAGGGCATCGTATTAACGTAGCAACAAAAGCAAATCCCTGGGAGTAATTTTAAGAAGCCACGTGAGAAACTTGCAAGCGTTTCCTGAAAATTAGAAAGCATGAACCTGATAAGCAGACACGCGGCAGCTGTTCCAAGACGGCGAGACTCAGAGACTCAGTGGCTTCGCCTCTGAAATGGGACAGGCATCCTCAAGGTCAGGAGAGGACTGAGGGACATCAGAAGGGCCGTCCGGAGTTCCGGTTTGGAGCCCATCTGGGCGGGAGTCTCTCCCCTGCTGCTCCGACGGGCTCTACCAAAGCCTTTCCCCGCGGGATCCAAGCCTGCCGCCTTCTCACCAAGACCGCAGCTGAATCAACCCCAGCGAACCAACTTCTTTCCAAGTCAGAGGCTGCTCCCCTAGGCAACCGCGTGTAGGCGGAAACGCCGCGGAGCATCCTGGGGATTGCAGTCCTTTTGAGCTCTGGTGACTGACGCTCACCTGGTCCGCAGAAGGGCCGGCTTTGGGGAGGAGCTGGTCTGGCCCAAATCCCTCCAGCTGTAGAGCCGGGGCAGGGTAAAAAAAAAACACCTCTCAAGTGATGGGTTCACTGGTTCCAGTGTCTGCTCTCAAGGGGCCAGGGTTGCTCTGGCCCAAGTTCATCTGTGGGTGCGGTGTGGTCTGCGAGTGTGCAGGAAACACCAAGTACGTTGAGAGAAAGCAAAATTTGTTCACCAGCCAATCAACCCTCACGTTTCCAGATCTAGGGTTCTCAGAGTGCTGCTTACAACTCTTCATCAGCTTGTCAATATCTACAAACAAACAGCCTGCAGAGACTTCCATTAGAATTGCACTGAATCTCTGGATCAAATTAGGGAAAACTGACCTCAGAATATTGAGTTTTCTGAGCCATGAAAATGGTATCCTGTATACTTAAATGTTATCTAGTTATGTTCATTAGAATTTTATAGTTTTCAGCATACATATCCTGCACATATTTTATTAAATTTATACCTAAATACTGAATTTTGTTGTTACCATTTTAATTTAAAAAAAATTTTTTAATGTTTATTTATTTTTGAGAAAGAGGCAGAGTGCAAGCAGGGGAGGGGCAGAGAGAGAGGGAGACACAGAATCCAAAGCAGGCTCCAGGCTCTGAGCTGTCAGCACGGAGCCCGAAGCGGGGCTTGAACTCACTAAGTACAAGATCATGACCTAAGCCGAAGTGGGACGCTTAACTGACTGACCCACCCAGGTGCCCCAAGATTTGTTTTATATATATACATGTGTATATATAAAGAACTTTCCTGAGGGACACAAGAGAAGTCTGGAAAAAATGTCAGGACACATCTGCGTTTGGATAAGACAATTTAACATTTTAAAGATATCAATAATCCTTAAATTTTTGGCAATTAAAACCCTATGGTAGAGGTGCCAGAACAGACAAGCTAATTGATGGAAGAGAATTAGGTGCTACAGCTGTCCTGTATATATATATGAGAACTTCACGTATGAAAAAATAGGACTTTACAAATCAGTGTTAGACTATGGGATGGATTATATTGGTAAGACTAGCTAGCTGGTCAAAAGGAAATTACATGGCTATTTTGCATGACTGAGCATCCTAAAATAAATTTCAGGTGATTCAGGGTATAATATATTTTTTAATTTTTTTTTAATTTTTATTTATTTTTGAGAGAGAGACAGAGTGCAAGCAGGGGAGGGGCAGAGAGCGATGGAGACATGGAATCCAAAGCAGGATTCAGGCTCTGAGCTGTCAGCACAAAGCCTGACGCAGGGCTCGAACTCACAAACTGTGAGATCATGACCTGAGCCAAAGTCCGACGCTCAACCGACTAAGTCACCCAGGCACCCCAGGATGTAATATTTTTGACTCAAATGGTGGAGAAAATGTGGGTGAAGCCAGTAAAAACAAAGGGAGATGTCTCCCCTGGGGTTCCTCATCCAAACCACACAATACAGAGAATGAACTGGGTGAATACTTTCTCAATTCTACATAATCAGTACTATTCTAGGTGCTGAAAACAGAAGTTACATACAATTGATACCTACAGCATTAGAGCATGGGCTTACTACTCTCACAAACCCTTGCTTAGAAAGTCTAAAACACAAAAGAAAACTACCCATTAAGAATCTATGCACAATATAATTGCAAATATGTACAGTACCTTAAAAAGGCCTACAAGGAGAACTTTACAGAAGGAAAGTGGGCTAGGCTCTGTGTTAGGCCAACCAGACAATCAAAACATTAGGCTACAACAACAAACTGCAAATCCTTTGTAATGTAAATGAATACATTTTGTTAATATGTTTTTATTCCTGTATTTTGCTATTAAAATTTTTTATAACATTTCCAAGACAAAAAATTACAAGTTTATGCTTTGAAGAATTTATGTAATTAAAATTTCACTAAACTGGGGTCCCTGGGTGGCTCGCTCAGTTAAGCATCTAACTTTGGCTTGGGTTATGACCTCATAGTTCATGGGTTTGAGTCCTGCATTGGGCTTTGTGCTGTCAGCTCAGACCTGGAGCCTGCTTTAGATTCTGTGTCTCCTTCTCTCTCTGCCCCTCCCCTGCTTGTGCTCTGTCTCTGTCTCTCAAACATGAATAAACATTAAAAAAAATTAAAAATTTTTTATCACTAAACCAATCTTTCTAGTTTAGGACTTATTTGGGTTTTGACACTGGAGTTGCACCGAGTAAGCATCAGAAATGTAAGATGCTTAAAAATTGCTACACTACTCATCCTGGTTAGGGGCTTGGGTTTGGGTGTTCTTTGGTTTTATTTTAACTTTTCTTTTCAAATGTAAAAGCCTTAAATGTACGTAAACCTCAGATTGTTGTAAGGCTGGGTTGAGGTTTGTGTACTGTGGCTTGGATGCAGCAGTGGTTGGTCATGGAATAAAGAACCCATGGATCAGAACAACAACAACAACAACAAATGAAAGGCTAAAACAAAAATAACAAATGGCAAAAAACAGCTGCAACACATATGACCAGATAGTTATATCCCTACTGCACAAAAGCCTCCATCGCTAATAAAAGAGGACTCTATCAATACCTAAATGCAGAAAAAATATAAATTGCCAATAAGCATGAAACTGTTTAACTCTCACTAGCAGTCGATTAAACGAAAACATACAAATAATCACCAAGGAGACATCACTCTCAGTGAATAAAAATGTCAAAAATGGTAAAGGCCAACAAGGATGGGCTGAAACCAACACTTGGGTACTTTTGGGAGGCATGCAAACTGGTATGATGTTTCTGGAAGGCAGTCTGGCCCAAGGGCATAGTTACATGGGAGAGCAAAAGTATAACAAGGAGGTTTTACTCCAGGCTTATATATAAAACTACAAATAACATGAATATCTAAGCCCTTGGGGCTTATGTACTCAGAATTTTTCTATAAGTCTAACAGTAAGTGAGGTAGGCTTATGTATAAGTAAGTAAATTATGGGTAAAATAAGTACATTATTAGCCATATGGTATATAAATGGTGCCACCAGCTAGGTCACACCACGTTTCTATTAGGAGGGCTCAGGTCAGGGCACTTCACCGCTGGTTTTTTTCCTGGGAATGACCTCTTGTGAGCCTTAAGACTCACAATGGCATTTTGGAAAATCAGCCCTAAATCAGATGTTTCTTCTCTATCAGCAACCACATATGTTATGACATGCGGTCGATTAAATTTTTTTTTTTTACATTAATTTATTTTTGAGAGACAGAGCACAAGTGGGGGAGGAGTGGAGAGGAAATGAGACACAGACTCCAGGCTCTGAGCTGTCAGCACAGAGCTCGAAGCAGGGCTTGAGGCCACCAACCATGCGATCGCGACCTGAGCCGAAGTGGGATGCTTAACCGACCAAGCCACTCGGGCGCCCTGACACGTGGTTGATTTTAAGAGTCAGGTTGAAGGTAACGTTGGAGACTCAGATCTTATTTTTTTTTTTTTATAAGACATTGGAGAGCGGATTTGTGATGATCAGATTTGCAAGGTCTGGTGGCAATGGGAAAGGCTGGAGCTAAGGGAGTTATTGAGGAGGATTAGTTAGAAGATATGGGGCCAGGAAAGATGAAATTCAAGAGATCTTTCTAGAACATTAATGAACAAAAGTTAATGACTGATTTGGGTGGTGGGAGTGGGTGATGGGGGAAGGAAGAGCAGGTAGACTTTAAATCAAAAGCCGTATTGAAATCAGTTAGAAACTGCTGGGTGCAGATCTTCAATTGTGATGTCAATTAATGAAGCCCCGAAAGTTGTATCACGTTCACTAACTTCCATTCACCAGTGGCAACAATTGCTTCCATCGTCAATACCACCCTTCTACCTGGTTACCTCCACTGAGCATTTTATCTGTATCTTCTAATAGACTCACCTCCCCACATTCCCTCAACTAATCACCTCAGGATGCCTTCTTCAGATCTCCCATTTTTAAATTCCTATCTCTGAGCTGCCCATCACCAAATTTCTACTTGATCCTTAGAAGGAAGGGAAGCCACCCAGCTTTCCCTGAGTTTCACCAGGGCCACAGGCTGGGAGATTACCTTATCAGCTCCTGTTCAACCTTAGTTCCAGGACTTTGGTGGCTCAAGGCTAAGGGGAAGCATAGCTGGGGGTGGGGGGCAAGGCAGATGACCAGTGGGAGTTGGGTGCAAGGCGGGGTACCAGTCTTCAGACTGGTGGGGCCAAGCAAAGGAACTGCCTGTGGAGGGCTGAGAGGGAAGGGCATGGTTGTAGGGGTGAGGGAAGCAGGTCATGGGTGCAGGTGGTGTTGGGTAGGAGTAGGGGCAGGCAGGGGACTCGGGCAAGAAACCAGAGAAGGTGGCAGGAGACAGCTGGGCCAGTGGCTGGAGCAGTGACCGCTCTTGCTTCCTCTGCTTAGCTCTGCGGTTCTGGAACCAGACCTGAGGAAGGGGAAGAATAGCCACATCAACGCCTCTCTCTCAAATAGGTGGCCCTGTCACATCAGAGCCCCCCTCCCCTTCAATGACAGAAGTTTCAGGTATAGAGCATAAGCCTCTCTGACCATGCAGAGGAAGTACAGTTCTTCCCAAAGGCATAGGCCAGCTGGGCCTAGATTAACAAAGCAAGACCAACACCATCACTCCCAACCTGTGTCTAAATTTGCCGTACTATGAATTTGGGTGAATTAAGAATATCAACTTCCAACACGAAAGAGATCAATATGACACGATGGCATCTTCCCTCCACAGAGAATAGGAAACTTCCCCTAGGATTATTAGAGATGAATTTTCTTGTTATAGACAGCTGGATTTAGGGTGGCGGCTTTATACTTAAGATGATTTCTATGGTTCGGATGAAAGGCACATCAGGCTGGCTGAGTCTCAAGGCCATGGTTAGGGACAAGGGTACATATGCATGCAAACACTTAAGATTGAATTTCTGTTGGAATTCACATCACTATTTTAAAAAATGTTTTATTTATTTTTGAGAGAGAGAAAGAGTGGGGAAGGGGCAGAGAGAGAGGGGGGGACAGAGGATCTGAAGCAGGCCCTGGGGCTTGAACCCACAAACCATGAGATCATGACCTGAGCTGAAATCAAAGGTCAGAGGCTTAACCTACTGGGCCATCCAAGCACTCAGGATTCACATTCCTATGAAAGTTGAGGGTAGGGTGTTGAAAATCAGGTTAGAGCTTAGGGTTATATTCAAGGGACAGTCTAATTTTAGGTGAGGTTATGTTGACTGCTGGGCGAGGCCATGTTCTGGGGAACGTTTAGGTTTGGGTTATAATGCCATATGAGAATTTATGCCCCAATAGCTCCTGAGCACCAAATCTACATTTCTTCCCAGGAGAAGTGGGGGATCCTGGGGCATCACCTGGATTCTCGCCTCACTGAGGCCTGTGTCCCGGGCGAGGCCCTCTCGGGCCCAAATGTCAGGGTACTGATTCCTCCCAAAGGCTGCCTCCAGCTGTTCCAGCTGCGCTGGGCTGAAGGTGGTTCGGTGGCGGCGCCTGGAGTGCGGGCGACCCCTCTGTGCACCTTGTGGGGAAAGCCGTGGTCTCCGCACTCCTACACCAGAGAGGTTCCTGTAGGGCCGAGGGCTCATGTCTGAGGATGGAGGGGAGGGGAGAGGTTGTGTGGGGTGGACCCATCCGTCCATCCGGAATCTCGGATGCCGGTCCGCCCAGATCCCCTTTGCCTTCCACCCCGCAAAACCCCTCAGCTCTGGTAAGGAGCTGGATCCGGCTCCGCCTGAGCCCCCACTTCATCTCTGAGTGCGCTTATCCTGGGCTCTCCACCTACATTGTCACCCCTGAGCCTCACTTCTCACCCTGGGCACTTCTGCCTCCTGTAAGTCCAGGCCCATGGAATATTCCCATGCAACAGGTGTCCCTCCGTGTGCCTTTCGCCTCTCTGGGAGCATGTACTGTCCTCCTGGGTCTCACCCTCTGGGGCTCTTATTTGCTCTGACACAGTAACAAACTGTCCGGGTCTGTAGGACACCTGTGACTTGTTTCCTGCTCTTAAGGCTCATGTTCAACATCTACGTTCCCTAGACTGCTCCCGTCCTCCTCCACGCTTCTTCACCTGGGAAGATGAAACATTCCTCCCTCTTCCGCTCAGACACACCCTCCCCTCACCTACATTTCATCTTCTCCCCTGGCCCGGCCCTGGCCTGGCCACCAGGCTGCAGGAACCTGAGCTCGTGGGAAAGGCTTGCCTCTCCTCCCTGCAGGCTCACTAAGCCCCCACACTAATTAGTCTGAGAGCCAGCCGGGGAAGAGAGGACACGGAGCGAAAGGAAACACCTGGAAGGCACACACTGAGAAAAGGAGATGTCTGGAGCTGAGGCACCCATCCCCATGGGGACCGAAGGAGCAGCTCCCACCGGGGGCTCAACTGTCCACCTTGGGGACACACGCGTTGAGCCACTGGTGGTCCCCTGCTCTCTTGGGATCCAAAGCCCTGGCCCCTCCAGATTCCCATCTCAGAGGAGGCAGTGCAGTGGGCAAACCACGAGGTCAGGGATGAGGAGCCAGATTTCAGCTTCGCCTCTGCCCCACCACCATGTGTGCTGTTCAGCAGTCCATCAATGCCAAGGCTGCGGATCCAGTCTGTCAAACGAAGACATTGTCCCTCCCTGTGCTTGCTAAGATGCCCAAGGTTTTTTAGCATTCTGGAGGCTGATTTTTATCTCCCCTTCTTGCCTTCCTTGTGGGGAGCCATGCCCTCCCCCAGGAGCCTAAGCGTGGAGCCCCCTCACCTGCTGCCTCCTCAGGACCACCCCAGAGATTCACTCACCCACCGTGGAGGTCAGAGTCCCAGTGGCGGGGTAGCCCTCGGGCCAGAGGCTGCTGCAAAGTCGCCCCTTCTTCTGCTTACCCTGCTCACTCCTCCCTTCTGCTTCCATGGCTAACAACAAAGATCAAAAACAGTCCAGGTTCCTGTGTCCCTGAGTCTCTGAGCCTGGGTCAGTCTTTCTCTGGTTCTGTCGTTCCTCTCTCTGCCTGTTTTTCTCGCTCCTTCTCCCTGTGTTTATGCCTCTCACTCTCTGGATGGAAATACAGATGGATATCTTTGTCCTTCTCACTGTCTCCCCTGTTTTCTAATTTTTTTCCCTAACTCCCCATTCCTTCGCTTGAGTATCATAGCATTCTCTCTGCCTTGCCCCGACCCTGTTTCTCTGTCTTGGCCTCTACTTTCCACTGTCTGCCCCTTGTCTCTCTCTCCCTTTGCTCTCAGCTGCCTACTTTCCCAGCCTGCAATCCCACACCACCTCTTTCTTCCTGAGCCTTGGAGGAGTGACCTGCCCCTCGCCCCTGGGGGCCCATCCAATCATTGCCTGGTCACCAGAGCCCCCTTCGTCAGGGGAGGATCACAAGCCGGATGAGGGAAGGTGCTCAGTTGGAGGGTCCAGGGACTGGGGCCAAGAGCTCGTATTCCCAGAGGACCAAGTTCTTTTGTCCTGTTAAATCCCCTCCTGGGAGCAGGCAGGTTAAGAAGAAAATGCATTCCTCCTAAGACCCTTCCCCAGAACCCCACCGTGGGGAGAGGGGGTGCAGGATTGTACCAGAATGAGGGCCAGGAGTAGGGCCTGCCTGGCATCTCAGCATGTGGGTGAATATCCAAGGATCTGTTTCCAGGTAACTAAAAAACTAAAAGACACAAGTGCATTCTGGCCCCTCCTTGATACCCTGATTCTCAGAATATACTAGACACACCCTCCCCCACCTCAGGACAACCTCAACCATGGGCTGAATCTCCAGGACACCATAGTTCTCAAGGGCTGTCTGCTTTCCTCTCCCAAATGTCACCTCCTCACTCACTCAGAACCCCTGGGACTCCAAGACCTTCCAGGGTCACGCAGACATTCAGAAAACCCTGACCCTCGAGAGCCTTGGAATTCTGGGTACATCCTGACTGCTTGGACTTTAGGACTCCGCGAGGCACTGAGATGCCCACGCCATCCTGACATTCTGAGTCTTCAAGGAAATGCTGAAGCACCTAGGATCCCGGAGCAGTCAGGAAACCCTGACACCCACAATATTCTGCTTCTTGAGATCACTTAGACCCAGAAAGTACATTCTGACATCCCTAGGGGATCCTGACCCTTTATAGACAACCTGATACCCCAGGACTCTAGGATACTCTAGGACGCACTGAAACCCAGAATGTTCTGCCTCTACTAGAAGATCCCTCTAACCCTGCCATGAGGTTCTAACTTCTCAAGACACCCTACCCCTCATGGAAGGGACAGTCTGAATCACCACGGTCATGCTTATCTTTCGCACACATCCTTTTAAAAGCACCCTGACAATTTAAGACCAAAAAAAAAAAAAAAATTCTCTAGGATCTTGATGCTTACAGTATGATCCACAATCAGCAGCATCAGCAGCACATGAAAGCTTCTTAGAAATGCAGAATCTTGGAGTCCACCTTAGTCCTACTGAACCAGAATCTGCATTGTAACAAGATCCCCAGAATAAACGGGTATCCATTTATTTTCACCAGCTCAGGCTGCCATAACAAAATACCAAAGGATGGGTGGCTTAAACAGTAGACACTTCTCAAGGTCTGGAAGCTGCAAAAGCCAAGGTCAAGGTGTCAGCTGATTCAGTTCCTGGTGAAAGTCCTATTCCTGGGATGTAGACAGCTGTCTTCTTTGTCTTCACATGGCAGAAATAAAACCACCTTTGGTCTCTCTTCCTCTTCTTGTATAGATACTAATCCCATCATGTGGCCCTTGCCCTCAAGATCTCATCTAACCCTAATTGCCTCCCAAAGGCCCCACTTCCAAATGACATCACATTGGGATTAGGGCTTCAACACATGAATGGAGGTGCAGGAGACACACAAACTTTTGATCCATAAGAGCATTAAAGTTGAGAAGCACTAATGGAAGACACCAACCTTTCTCCCTCTACCCCAGCATATACCATGACCTCCTGGAGCAACCCAAGCCCCCATGACATTCTGATCTCCCAAGACCCAGTAACATGTATTCAACTTGAACCTACAAGCAAGTGCTGAATTCTAGTACATCCTGCAGCCTCAAGATACCCTAACTCTACAAGGAAACTGACCAGCTATCTAGTACAGCCTAATTGCCCCCAGGGTACTCTGATATTACAAAGAAACTCTGACCCATTACCCCTGCTCCCCAAAGACACTGAGACACTGCAAGTTTGACTTGACATTTCAGAGAACCATAACCCCTCAGGGGGCTGGAAGGCTTAGAGGCATTTGGTCTTCCAGGGCATCCTGATTCCAACCCCCAATACTGACCCCCAAGGAAGCCTGACACCCAGGATCCTCTCACCCCACAAGAAGGAGAATAGTGTGGAAGGAAGGAGTATAAGTTCGGAAGCCAAACTGCCCCAGGTTCAAATCCCAGCTGTACCACTTGCTAAGCTATGTGATCCTGGGCTCATTTCTTTTTTTTTTTTTTTAATTTTTTTTTAACGTTTTAATTTATTTTTGCGACAGAGAGAGACAGAGCATGAATGGGGGAGGGGCAGAGAGAGAAGGAGACACAGAATCGGAAGCAGGCTCCAGGCTCTGAGCCATCAGCCCAGAGCCCGACGCGGGGCTCGAACTCACCGACTGTGAGATCGTGATCTGAGCCGAAGTCGGATGCTTAACCGACTGAGACACCCAGGCGCCCCCTGGGCTCATTTCTTAATATCTCTGTGCCTCTGCTTTATCATCTGGGGAAAGTAATATGGTTGATTCTCTTTATTTGAGGTAGTTCTGTTTCATAAAGTCACTACGAACACTGAATTAGTGGATGTTGAACCATAACTCCAAAAAATAGATTTCCGGGAGCCTCTGCCCACAACATTTTCATCACCTGATCCATACATAACCTTGTTGTATGTGTTTCTGTTTAAAGATATCTTAGTTTAATGTATATTGCCAACTTATTAACGTTGACCCCACGGCCAATGACACTGTGACTCATGCCTGAACGAGGGTTGTCTAACACATGTATTTTCTCCCTGAAGCACATCATGGCTTTCCTGCACTTGAGAACACCGGACAGCACTTCAACACTATGCTTGGAAGCTGCTTTAACAGCGAAATTACCAGGAAAAGCACAAATATGTGAGAAATGGCGGCACTTAAGAGACCGCAAAAAGACATCTATTTACAGTATGACAGTTAAAACAGGAAGCCAGAGTAGTTGCTCTGTTTGACCTCAGCTGGGAACGCGGCAGCTCAAAGTATTTGCCTCGCTGCGCACGCGCATTGCTGCAAATGACCATCCAAGTGCCAAAGCGTGCTGCAAAAGGGTACTGACCTTGGGGTTTCAAATAACCCTCAGTGACTTCCCAAATGTGGGATCCACAAAAAATGAGGATCCACTGTACCTACGTGGTGAAGACGCAATGATTGAGAGTTAATGGAAGAGAAGCATTTAGGACTGTTCCTTGAACATAATTAACACAGGCAAAAATGTTACTTTATTGTCATTCTAATTTTACTACCATCCCTAAGAGCCTCCAGCCCTCAGAGTCATTCTGACCTTACCTGATTCCTGAGTCCCTAAGGCACAGGGTGAATTCAGTCTCTCAGACACATGAGCCCTCCAAGAAGTTTTGACTTCTGTACCTTATAGTCAGCATGATAGCCTGAATTCATGATGTTCCTCACAACCTTTTAGGACACCCAGAACCTAGACCCTGGACATGTCCAGACAAAGGCGTGGTGAGGTTTGGGACACTCTGATCATATAAGATATTCCCTTACCTTAGGGCGCCTGGGTGGCTCAGTCAGTTAAGCATCCGACTTTGACTCAGGTCATGATCTCACAGTTCATGAGTTTGAGCCTTGCATCAGGCTCTGTGCTGACAGCTCAGACCCTGGAGTTGGCTTTGGATTCTGTGTCTCCCTCTCTGTCTCTGCCCCTCACCCACTCGTACTCTGTCTCTATCTCTGTCAAAAATAAATAAACATTTTTAAAAATTTAATAATAATAAAAAAGGATATTCCCTGGCCTCAAAGGATCCAGACACTCAAGGGAATCCTGCCCTCTAGTCCATTCAGAAACACCCCCCCCCTTGCTCTTATCTTGCAAAGGGCATGCTGACACTGAAAAACCACCCAGCCCCCAAAGCCCAACCCAGGAGATATTCTCTACACACCAGCTGACCCATAGGACATTTGGACCAAGTAAAGACATATCCTGATTTGCTTAGGCACCCTGACCATGTGATGCCCACTGGTACTCTAACCTTCTCAGGTACTCTGACTCTCTCAGTCCCCGGCTTCTCAATAGGTACCCTACTCACTGCCACTTCCCCCTCCCTCCCACACACAGACAGCCCACCAGGACCTCCCAAATCCATTAGGTGATAATTCTTCTTTAAAAATTTTTTTTCATGTTTTTTATTTATTTTTGAGAAAGAGAGAGAGATAGAGCACGAGCAGGGGAGGGGCAGAGAGAGAGAAAGACACAGAATCCAAAGCAGGCTCCAGGCTCTGAACTGTCCGCACAGAGCCCTACATGGGGCTCGAACTCAAGAACCATGAGATCATGACCTGAGCTGAAGTAGGACACTTAACCAACTGAGCCACCCAGGCACCCCAAGAACAGTCCTTTTAAAATGATAAGCTTCCTGTGCCAGGCTGCCAGTATGAAGTAAGGAGTTCTGCTTAGAAGCAGTGTCTTCAAGATGGGCTCACTCCAGCTCCAGGCAGATCACCAGAGTTAAAGAGAGAAACATTCAAGGACCCTTGTTAAAGGTGGTAAGTCAGATTTTATCCAGAACCACTGGAATAGGTGTAGGGACCACTGCAATGGGACTTCACAGTGGGGGAGAGAGAGTGGGCTCAAGGCCAAATTCAGCATGGGCAAATGGGAATTTATATCCAAGCAGCAGAGTGGAGGGCAGCAAATGGAAAATTGCT